CAAGCGTCGGTAAGAAGATGACGTCCACCCCGACGCACTCATTGAAGGCCAGTTCCTTTGGCGGTGCACTTCTCCGAGCAGGTTTTACCTGTGAGTGTCGTTGGCACACACTGCACCGGAGATGTTTGGCAGCTTCGATGACCTCAGGTTTGGCCTTCGCGTACCGAAGGATTCGAACAAACCTGTCCGAGGTCGGGTGGCCTAAGCCGACGTGTGCTCGGTGAAGAAGACGTTCCATGGGAAAACGGGAATGTAGCGGTAACTGTTGTTCTGGGTTCTCCGGGGTCTCGCCCTCTTCCTGCTCCTCTTCTGGTTGTAGTTCCCCATCGTCCTCTTGGTTCTCCCGGTCATGTGGTCCTCGATTCTCTTCGTTCGCCAAGATCTCGGCCGTAACATAGTCCGGTAGGTCAGGTAGGCGAGAATCTGGTTCGTCAAGTGCTCGGGAATCGGGGTCCTGACATTCGGTGTGACCAGCAGGTACTTCCCGTTGTAGGTCCTTTAAGGCCCGGAACTCGGTGTCCATGAGGTAGTTCAGCCGGTGGTTCTCGGCCAGCATGCTCTCGGAACTGACCACTTCCACATGGTCCACGTTGATGGACTGGCTGTAGGCCTTCAAGATAGCCGATCGAAGTTTCTCCGGGTATACCTGTGATCGTTGAGACCGGTTGCCACCAATGATGACTTCGTGTTCATGATTGCCAGGACAAAGCTTGCTCAGAGCTTGAGCAAGTGCTTCTGAGTTCGTGGCGAATCCGGTTCTTTTTCTTTGGGGAAGGCCTGATTGACCCTGCAGTCCGTACTGGCATTGGTCAGCCTTGGTGTAGATGACATTCGGTCGATCCAACAGCCGCTCCATGGCACAGTGTTTCCAGGAGGAAGCGGCATGTGGATGTTCAAATATGAACTTGATCCCGAGTTCGTCGCAGAATTCGCACAACCGAATGGCAAAAATCAATAACCTGTCACCTTCTGCCTTGTTTTTCAAGTATCGTTTCATGAGGTCCGGCAGTCGAGCACGTTTCTCTTTGGAGAGGTTTTGCAGCTGAGTGTACATCTTGCAAGGTGGTGCAATGCAAACAAGTCCTGGTTTAGTGACCTTGACATACTGCATGACTTCGTTTTGTTTGTCTTCGTTTAACAAATCGTCTCCTAGACTCAAATCAAAAGCGCGACCGGGCGACAAATGAAAACGACCAGTGATTTTCTGGAAACAACCAGGATTGTACACTTCGGCAACGGTCTTAAGTTGTTTAACAGTTAACCCCATGACTTCGGCGATCTCGCGAGATCTTTTTGTGCCGGCTGGATTCAGAGTGAACTCCTGGCAAATTTCGTCATTTAAGACCTGAGCCCAGTGCTGCAAGGGCGTATCAGCCAGCAGCAATTGAAGCTCTCGCCAAAAAGCTGTTGCCTTCTTAATGGCAGCCCGAAGCTTCCGTTCTAGCTTCGGGGTGACCTGTCTCACTGTTCCTCCCGTCTCGGAGGTTGTCGTTGGTTTTTCCAACGAAGGTATTCTTGAAATTCCTGGTAGTCGGTCAGGTGCTCCAGGTCGGTTCCATCCGAGGTGGTTTGGGGAGTCGCTGCAGAGGGAATCCCCTGGCGTGATGGTGGGGCCGAGCTTGAGGACGTCGTGCTGGCCTTGGACTTGTTTCCCTCTTCCGTTTTCCCGATCTTCTCGGACTTGATGACCTTGTTGCACGTGCGACAGGTGACCTTGGTGAGATAGGCATTCGAACCCTTTCGATGTGTCTCCTTGTGTTGACATTTGGTTTGGATCATGGCCTCTAAGATCTGTGTGTAGCTCACAGGTTCGTCGCCGGGCTGTTGCCGGTGACGCCAGCTTTCCAGACTCAGAAGAGGCTGCTGTTCGCACCACTGGACGAAGCGGCACTGATGTCCCAGTTCCAGGGGGCATCGAAAGTACAGCTTCTCGTAGTTGTGTCCCGTCGGGCCCGAGTCGCTGAGGTGGATCTTGCACTGAAGGGCGCAATGACACCTCGGACGTGGTTCCAAGATCATCTCGATGCCTGGTAGGCTGTTGATCTGCCGACACCTTTCGGTGAGGACGGGATCTGGAGGAGGTCGTGGTCGACGAGCTGGATGGGTGCTGGTCTCGCTGAGGTTGGACCAGTGTCCTTGTTCCTGAGGTCGATGACCAGTATCTTCTCGCCGATTCATTTCCTGGCGGGCCACATTCTGGATCATCGGTAGATCTTCGTCTGGTAGGGCTCGAATCATCTCCTTCAGGGCCTCTCGGTGTGGCTTGGTGCTGAGCATATGGTCCATGAACCTTTCCAGCATCTGCTGAAGGGGCATCAGAACCAGTAGAAATCGTCTCATCAGGCGGAACCACGATTGAAGAACTCGATGCTGTTGAAGGTCTTCTTCTTCGAGAGTCGGACTGGCCCGAACACGTTTCTGACCAGCGGTTTGCATGGCAAGCAGCTGAGTGCGGAGTAGCAAAAGGGCTCGTGGCTTGAGTGGTACTCGGCTTCGGCGGTTCCATGCAGCCATCTTGCAATTTCAAGACCTCAAACTCGACCGAAGTGCTCTGGTTCATCAAGTTTTGTTCTCGTTCGAGCGCTTGTTTTTGCATCTGGTTGTATTGTTGGAGTGGAATTCGTAAAGCACCAGTTGGGCCAAGGTGAAGGGGAACTGGTTCGGGAGTTCCTCGAAGCCGTAATTGGAGGCCTTGTTCATGACAAAGGATAACTTCTCCATGACAATGGAGTAGGAAGCTGAGAGAGATGAGGAAGGGCGCACCTGAGCTTTCTTCGTTTTCGAAGACAGCGGGCTTCAGGAAGCTTCCCTTGGTACCCAAAGAACATGGGATTGTAGCAACCTTGGACGTGACTGATGTCTGATGCACGCTCCTGAACCTATTTGTTTCGGGAGTGAGGGTGATCTTCAGGGGTTCAGGAAGGTGTTGAGCGAACTCTCGAAGTGTTCGTGCACCAATGGCAAGTCGTTGGCATCCCGTATCGACGGTGGCACAAGTTGCGTCCATCATATCTTGAGGTTGGGGAGACTTGGAGACGAGGTTGCAAAACATGTTTTCAAAAACAAACAAGTGTTCAACACCGGTCGGACGGAAAAGGTCACTCTCCATATATGCCGACGCGGACGGGCGTTCAGCATCCGTGGCAGAGCCAACCTTTGGCTGCCAGTTCCTACCGGCCGGGCTCAGGGGAGTCGTCTCTCCATGCCGCTCAGTACTGGTAGGAGACCTCGTAGCCAGGTTCATGGCGTTGGCTTCCAGGATCGTTGGGTCAGACTCGAAGTCCAGCACGTCCTCGGCAAGGTGTCCAATGAAGAATGCCTCATCGGTGTTCTCCAAGTAGTGGCTCTCGTTAGTCTTCAAGTCCGGGTTCTTCTGAGGCGGATTCTTACAGTCCCGCTTCCAGTGTCCGATCTGGCCGCAGTTGCGGCAGCGAGTTCTTTTCTGAAGCTCAGCTATGGTGACCGAATACGAGCCCGGTCGAAGTGGTCTGTCCCGGACGGATCCTCGATCATATCCTCCTGGAGGTGGTCGCTTTCCGTAGCCACGGGCCAGTTCTCTGGCCTTTTTATTTTTGATCGATTGGGTGTAGGTCTTCTTCTGCTGCACGTAGGTGGAGAGGATCTCGGCAGCCTCACCTTCACTAAGGACTGTGTCACCGTCGGCGTCGTCCTGAAGGTGCATGATGCACTGCTCAAGTTCATCGATCTCCTCCTTGTCCTCGTCGTTCTCCTCGATGTCATTATTCTCGATGTGGTGTCCCTCGAACTCCGTGAGAGAGTGGACCTGGTTCTTCTTCTTATCAGCTCCCAACTCTGCAGCTGACAGTCGGGTTTCGTTCTTCCTCAGCCAGCTCTTGATGGAGCTCGGCTTGATGCATCCATGAGTGTAGTTCAGCATTGCCTTGGTCTCGGTCTCGGTGAGCTGAAGGCCATTGATCATCAGAAAGCCCTCATACTCTTCCGGGAGGGTGATCTTGTGTTGGTGGACCTTGCGAATGGCACCATCCCACTTCGCAAAGTACTCTCGCCAGGTCTCGTTCCGTTGGCGCCTCAGGTGGTAGGTGATCCTTGACATGGCGGTGAGCATGTGTTCTTGTTGATCGTCTCCATACTTCTCTGGGGTGTCCATGTCGTTGAGGAGCCGCTCGGCGCCATGAGGGTCAGCCATCCATTCTGGGTCTTTTGCCCAGTGTTTGTAATGCTCGAATGGAGCGCCGCTCAACATCTTCAACAGTAGGGGGCCGCGAGATCGACCCTTGGCCTTGGCCGTGGCGATCCATAGCTTTGCCTTTATGAAGTAGTCCTCAAAGGGCGTCACGCCGTCCCAAGATGGTGGTGGTCCAGCCGACCCCCGGCCATCGCCACCTCCATCTTCTTCTTCTTCTTCGTCGTCTCGCTGACGACGTCGTCCGCGAAGACCGCGCCCTTCTTGCTCCCTTTCCAGACGGAGAAACCTCTGGAACCGAAGAAAGGCTTCGCGGTCAGACCCCATGCCATCGGGCGCGCCGGGTGAACCTGCGGCTGGCGATCCTCCTACGGGTTCATCCAGATCGCCATCCGATGGCGGGACAGCCTGAGTTTGTCCGGCCATCCCAAAAGCCACAACTCCAAGCGGGGGCTAAGTGTCCCACCAAAAAGGGAGTCGACCCCAAACCAAAAAGGGGGGGGAGACCCGGACGTTGCCGGGCTCCGCTACCACTGTGAATCCCAAAAACTGCAGCAAGCCCCCAAGCAAGAACGGACTCCCTTTTCAGCGGACACGTAACCCCCATTTGGAGTACAGGTTCCTAGCTTGGTCTTGGGTCGAGCGATGCCGATGTTCCAATTTCACAGAATCAAATGGTGTTTCACATATTTGAGACCTGCACCTGAAAAGCTAGACCCCTGAGCTGACAATTGTCCTTGAAAAGTAATGAACTCAGGTGTCCTTATGGGTAGGTTATGGGTCTTAAAGCCTAAGTACGGGATGCACCCCGCCACAGTGAAAAGTTGCTCAGGGAATGCTAGTTGCCACTCAAACATAGCCACTTGCAGCTGGATTCACGAGGATCGAATCATGCCATCGCCATCATGCAGATGTGTATTTATATAACTCGTTTCGTTTCCCGTCAAAACAGAGGTCAATCGGGTTCCCGGCAGCTTTGTTCCACGGCGGGTCCGCTGCTTGTCCACCACGGAACTCACAGCGATGGCATCGTTGGATGGCTTTCAGGGCCACTTCGACATGCTCTACGACCATGAGCGGAATGAGGTGGAATTCTATTTGGTGACCGAAACAAATGTTAGTAATTCGATCGAGACCAGCAAAGAGTGACTGGTGGATGATTCCGGGCATTTCTGTAGAATCTGTTGGGAAGACTGATATTAGAGCCGATGTTCATCCATGTTCTGTTCAAACTAGTGGCCTTAGCATACCAACAAGCTTATATAATCTGTGCAATATATGTATATATACCAGGACCTTCAAAGTGACCTTTTGAGATCCCAGAATGATGTCACTTAGTCCCTGAAGAGGTCACTTACAGACTCCAAAGAGGTCACTTTGAAGGTCCTGGTATATATATATATATGTGATTATGTTTTATCACGCTAACATGTTTCCCGACATCCAACGACAAAGCTGACAGAACAGAATGATTTGTGGCATGTATCCTCACTTGTGTTTCGTGCCAGAGCGAGGCAAGATCCATTGATGGAGAGCCGCGGTTTCGGTTTGCGTTTGTGCTTCTGGGTACCCACCAGACGTTTGAGAAGCACGGATGGATACCCTCCAAGATCCATTGACAGAGATGATCTGTAAGGCAGAAAGATCCAAAAGACACAGAAAGCTCCTGCAGTGTCATCCTGAGAAGCAAGGAGAAGCAAGTGGCCACAGCTAGTTGAAGAAATGAAGTCGGAGACGAAGGAGACCACAAGCTTGGAGACCACACCCCAAAAATCCTTAGAAAGAAAGTTTACAGGCCCACCACCAGATCGTACCAGCAGGGCAGTGTGTTCCAGCAGGTTGATTTTTCTAGTTTGTGCCGATGCTATCAAGATGGACTCTGAAGAAAGGACAGGTTCAAGCACGCTTTTGCAAAGCGGCGTTGGGTGGGTACAACTGGTGGTTGCAGAAGGTAAGTCACCTCCTTTGGTGTAGCCACACTATCAAAATTGGTCAGCCCATTTCGTGCTTGCCCAGCTTTGCTTCTCTGGAATGGCAACGTTTGTGCAGATTTGTTCGCCAGGCCTATGCGGAAGCCATTCGACGGGCTGTGGAGAGGCGCCGAACAGTGATGGCAGCGGTGGGTGGGCGTTGGATCTGGCACCAGAAAGCATAACTTAGCTTGGGGAAGATTCCTGGACCTTTTTCAATACCCCACAGACTGATTTTCTTGGTACCCAAATGAACCGAAGAATACGTCCTTCAAGAGGTTGTGTGATAAGTATTATAAGTATTAATATATATATATAATAGTCATATAGTATTATGATATCATTCATCAGTTTTTGGATCCAGCACACGGAAAAGGAAGATTGATTTGCAACGGAAAGGAGGAGGGAGTTTCGTTCAAGCTTCCTTCATCGCCCACGTCATGACCGTCATCACCTTTTGACCGGGAAGGGTCATCACCTTTCAGGGTCATATGCCAAGAACCTGACAGAGTGACCTCTGGTTCGTTGATGTGATGCTTTTTGGAGGATTGATCACCTGTCATTCAATATCCTGTGTGTTTTTTTCTACCAAAAAGGAGGTCAAATGGGTTGATCATGTAGTTCTAGAATGTTTGGATCGTTTGTGTTGGTGTGGATTCGTGGATGATCAAATTTATTGGGCTCTGACCGGTTGGAATTCGGGTCTTCAAATTGGAGCGCTGCAGCAGACACGCCGGAGATGATGGTGAAGCAGACGCGACTTTTGCGCAGTGTGTTGCAAGCCGAATGGGCTTGGAGAGAAGAAGTATGCGGCATTCGGAGATGCGAACAAGAATGTGAAGCTGGAGCCAGAAACATGGGATTGATTCCATGGTTGGTAAGCCAAATGCACTTTGGACGATGAGGTGCTTTCCTTGCAGTGTGGCTGGCCACACGAGCCTGCTGGCACCCTGCAGTCAGCAGTCTTGGTAGAGCCGGCAGGTGAAGGGAAAGCAAAAAAAAAGAGTCATCACATCTGGAAAATGCAGGTGCAGCAAAACTTTGAAAGGTCAACACATTTGGAACGTGCAGGTGAAGGGACACTTTGAAAATATTCACATGGTGAAGCAACACTTTTCAATAATAATCACATCTGGAAAATGTAGGTGAAACAAAACTTTGAGGGGTCGAATGCTGCGTCACTTGGAAGGTTACTTGATTAATCTTCTTCTCCACGCTTAGCACGAGGGCTCGCTCAAAGCTCCACTCGATCCCAATGCTTCAGAGATTTGGACAGCAGCATGTTTAGGCCACATCGGGATCATAACATTCGGGCGCAAGGTCATCATGGGTCTCGGCCTGTTCTGGACCAGAGGTATCCAGAGGTCTGTTTTTTAGCCTGACAAGTCCTACTTGGATGACTGCTGCACAAGGATGTGAGAGCTTGAGCTCAAAAGGACCCTAAGTTTGTATAGACAATTTTCTTATGGAATGAAATATCAATCTACCTGAAAAAGACACCACATTTTAAACATGGGGTCAAAAAAGTCAGTTTGTTCTCGCAAAATGGATGCCGACAGAGGACACGACATGTCCCCATTTTCTATATGTTACTTTTTACAATAGAGGTCCTAACATTTGATTGTATAGAAAACATTTGGAGTAGTAGAAGGTTGAGAACTGATTTCAGAGTGGATGGTGTGTTGTGAGGTCAGGTACTGTAGGTTGATATTTCATTTTGTAGTATTGAAATGTATTGAAAGCATTTGGAGTAGTAGAAGGTTTAGAATATGTAATTTCTCTATAAAATCAACACCAACCTCTTTGGCCACTTTTGTCCAACATGTTTCTAAAATAATGTTTCCATTTTTGTTGCTATACATTTTTCACGATAATGAACACCAATACCCTGAGGCACCTCATTCTATAGAGAACATGTCTCCAGCACTGCAGCAGGTTGATATATGATTCTATAGTGGGGCAAACTGCCCTCGGAGCCTGGTTTGTCGTTCTATCATTTTACAATCACGTCCCAAGGTACACCGGTAGTTCCACAGGGAATCTTAATCATTATATACTATACATACTCATGCAATCGAAACTCGAGTACACCATACTTATACCAAGCCACAGGCTTTGTCCCTCCCCTTGGACGGTCCAAGAAGCTGTTCCCTTTGGCTTTCGTCCATTTCGCACGAGGAAGACGAGTTCAGAACGGTGGACTCCATTGACCGCTGTGGATATAGGACGCCCGACCGGTGTCGGACGCAGTTGGTGGGATATATTGGGGACTAGTGACTAGTGTGGTGTCCCAAATGGATGGAAAACACATGAAAACCACCGAACCACGATTCTGGAAAAATCTGTTCTTCGAGATGTTTTGGCGTTTGATTTTACTCTATGCACGGTAGCAGTTTTACAGCGTAACGTGGGCAAGCAGCAGATCAGGCACTGGAGCCGGTCTTTTTTTTTGTGCCACGAGTGGTTTTGCTGAACGCGATCCCGGAGCGGCTTTGGCTCGCTTCTCCAGCTGCTGGGACTTAGGAGACATGGTGGAAGTCAAATGGGAATGGGAATGAACAACACTGGAGCCCTGGTTCACCATCACTGGAAGATTCTCAAATAACTATGAAAAAGAAGATTGTGGAAAGCTGCCGCCACAGAGGCAAGGTCTCAATGTAATCAGCACTGAGAGTGGTCCAGCACTGCACAGGGCTTGGCCCAGGCAACTCACACGAAGTCAGGATCGATGGGCAGGAACCAGACCTTCAATGCCAGAATTTGGGAGGAACTTCCACAGGTGGCTGGAATCTGCCAGTTTCCCAAACAGCAGGACTTTGGCATCTTTGTTTGAACTCTATCATGTTGTATCCATGTCAGTATGGTAGATGATGGTAGTTATTCACAAAGGGTTTTGGTCAGCTGAAACTGGCATGGCTGATAGACAGTTTGGTGTTTTGTCATTTGTTTGATATATTATACGATCATTTGGTGCAAGAGTGTTTTATTGCTGTAAAGGTTTGGCTGGTATAAAGTGGCACCTGAACCTGACATCGTCGCATGTTCCAGACCTCCCGTCCAGCTCTTTGTTTGAGTCTACTCTAACATATACAATGTATATATAACAACATACGTAACATATATATATATATGTTCATATGTGATATGGCCTGCTTGATCCAAGCAACATAAAGAGGTCAGCTGGGTTACACCGGTTGATGTCTTTCCGACACTGCACCGTCAGCTGGGAGCGGCGCTGCATCGCTCCACTGCATCGCAGCGGGACGGACGGTCGACAGGAAGTGGTGCGGGCCTATTGGGTCTTCTTTGCTGGCAAACAGGCGCAGACGCACGTAGCTTACTAGTATAGCGTCCTTGTTCGACCAGTATAGCGTCCTTGGCCTCCTTTCGGCTTCCACCTGGGTGCGCGCTGACGTTTTTCAAGCTTTCAGGGACCAGTTGTTCGGAAGGGAGGTTCCCCTCACTTGCTACCAGTGGATGGTCTCCGTGAGATGCATTTTGGCTTCTTCAGTTGGCTTTTTTGGGGGCAAACAACTCGCGTTGATGGATCTAGATGGTTCCACACTGGCAGACTTCATGATATTTCGCTCGCTGAGTTTGAGAGTCCGTATGTTTTCCAAGAAAACTGTGTCGAAGATGCTCAGAGTTTGCCTTCCAAGCCCTTACCAAAAATCTGTCTCAAAAGAAGGCATGTCCAGCTCTGGCCAAGCCTCCTTGGAACCAGCATGTTTGTCCTGGATGGCCTTCGACGACGATCAGCATACGCCATTTTAATACTTGGGCAGGACAAAACGGAGGATCAAAGAATCAATAGGGCACCACAAAATGAGAAACGTACGAACACCATGTTAAGTATGTGGCTTGCATCCTGATAGATAATTCACATGCGGGTGGTATTTTGTAACGTCGTTTAGCCGGATGATCAAAGCAAGTGTTAAAGCAAGTGAGAAACTTTTAAGGAAAAAGTACAATAATGGATTCCTTTACATTTATATAACGTATCAGTTGTATGCTACCACAGTCGGCAATGCCTAGCTGAGTATATCATAGAAACTGTCTAGATGCAGTTTAACATATACTGTATAATATATATATACATATATATATATTGTATTGTTATATCATATGTTTGTATGAAGCAGCAAGATTCATTTCCTCTAGCCCAAACATGCCAGTTACTATGAGGCAGGTCAGACCCTTCCCGCACAATGGCTCTATCAGGAAACCCAAGTTGGTGTGGGAACTGTGGGAACCACCAAGCCATTCAGTGAAGCCCCCATATAAGTTAAGTTTCCCCAAAAATCTAGAAACCAAATCATTAGTGCGAGCGCTTCTTGAAGGAAGCTTCTCCCGCCACCTGTAGGGCGGCAGGGGGAGCTTCCTTGAAGAAGCGTGAGCTATCCTGCGTCCAGTAGGTAGTAGCGTTCTTCTAGGTAGTAGCTACCTCATCTCTACTAGCTACCTACCTGGCTACTACTAGCTACCTCTGGTAGCGGCCTACCCCCCCCTTATAATTAAAGGACAAAAAACTACAAACTCATCTGGCATCCCTGGGCTTCGTGCGACGAGGCCGCTGTTCTCGTGTGGTGCTCATCGAGGCCTGTCCACCCTTAGCCTCCGTGGCACGGGAGAACCTGCAGCGCAACGGGGCAGCAGCTCGGTGCGGAGGAAGCCCATCCACGGAGCTGCGTCTCCAAGTCTGAGTTCCTTCTTTTGTTTTGACTCTGATGTCATGTTGGTGGATGTGACCAAAACATGAAGTAAAGGCTCCAATTGTTGCAAGTTCATTGAGATTGATGGTTCAGGTCAAAAACAGCTGCATGGCAAAGGGAAGCGGATGTTGTTGCACTTTTTGTTTGCTGTTGGATCCGTGGGAATCGATTTGCTTTTGATAGTGCTTTTGATGTGGCTGGAAAGGAGACCATGTTTGTTTGCTACCGGATGTGGCTTCCCTTGTCTTTCAAACCATTTAATTCATCAGCACTCTTTGGAGAAGAGATTGGTGATAAAGTGTCAGGTTCAAGACCTTCCAACATCACCCCCTATCCTTGAGAAGCAGCACCCCTGACAGCCGCAACCTGCACAAACGTTTCCTAAAGCCTCCGATCGATGCACTCAGGAGTCTTGCTGCAGAGTTTGGGAGGGTCATTCCAACGATCTTCTCCATTCTTCTGCAACCTCTCAGGACGCGTTTGCCGCGTACACCGCGTGCGCGGGTGGTGTGCCAGCAAGCGATGCAGGGCAAATGTCCTGCAAGATGGGTGAAATGAAGTGTCTATCCAATATCCATGAGTGTAGTTGAAGAGCAAGGGAGTTACTCCCAGGAATCCGTTGTATTGCCCGGAGAAGAAGCACCTGGGCTGACTCGGATGACTGGGCTGACTCGGTGCGCAGCCAGGCACCTGGCATTTTGCAAAAGCGATTTGGGGAGAGTCCGTTTGTTTCGTGGCACGTTTCTTGTGCCAGGTCAGTTTTCACTTTCAACAGTTCGCCCTTTTTGGTGATTTCAGTCCAGAGATGGTTTCCTTTCAGAGCGGGGTTTGGGCGCAGAAGATCAGTCACGCGATGCACAAAGTTCAACTCTGAAATCAGTCGCTTTGCTAGACATATTCCTGGGACCCGAATCCTCAGTAAAATCCGGCTACCCTCTGACGAACACAGAAAACATGATTACAGTGTTACATCGGATGGCATGGTCCTTGGACGGAAGACGACCTTCCTTTACAGGTCCACGAAACGTGAGGTGTGCGTCGGAGTGTGTATTTCGGCAGACTTCCATTGGTTGCAAGGTCCCAAATACACACCCGTCCGTGGTGCGGTGCGTCGGATTTGGCATCCTCCACAGGTTGAACCCTTCGACCTGTGTGTGTCAGAGCTCCTGGATTCGGTGTCTTGGCCGGACGTGGACACTGAGGTTTCCATGGATTTTTGATGTACTGTACTTCTATGTACATGTTTATATATATAACTATAGATACAATCATATATTGTAGAGAAAGAGACACACATGATATCATGATATCATATATATATATATTGATCTATTGCTGGCTGCTAGATGAATTGCTGGCTGCTAGATGACACATCTGATCAAAAAACAAGTAAGTGTTGAACATACGACTACTACTTCTAATAACAAAAACAACAATAGTAGGATAGTCAATATAGTCGTGCATTGACTCAGAAGTAGTGCAATATTGTCATGTGTGGGAGATGGTCCATATTCTATCCACTGAAGGAAGCCTGTATGTGTTGAATGATATAATATATATATATATATTGCCCTTTGTTGCCTTGAGGGCACTGTGGCTCAGTACCCAAGAGTGATTGTAGCTTAGCACTGTGCCCCAAAAGTACTTCAGCTGGTGCAGTTCTGTACTGGATGTTAAGACATACTCACTAAAGTTGAAACATCCTTCTTTTTCACTGTCCAATCACCATGCCTGTCCACCTCACCTCTTGCCTTCTGGAAATCCGGTGTGAAGCTAGATCTGGAGTTTAGATACAGTATATAACTATTCTTAGGAGTTTGGACAAGGAGACCAGATGTTTCCGTTGAACTTGGCATTTTTACCGTGCTCACTGGAAGACTCCGCAGAGCAGGTTTGAACTACAGTAAGTACTTTTTGACCACCTTGGTGCTAGACAGCCAGATGAAACTCAGTTTGGGACAGCCAGATGCAATGGTCAGAGAAGATTCCAAAGATGTTGTATCAAAATGAGAGAGTTAAGTTTGATTTGCCAATTGGTTTTATAGCTTCATGGGGACTAAAGAGGGAGGGGTGGGGCTGTCCCAGTGTCTCAGCAAAGTCTTTTTCAGCCGATTTAAGAGACCCGAAGCCTGCTCCCTCTGATAGGATTGCTGTTCCCCCTCACCAAGACACCGGCGTTTTCTCTCCCTTTTTCGCCCGGCACCGGCCACTGGCCCATAGCGTTGCGTTGACCCAGGTGTTGATCGGCGAAGGGGTGTTGGACTCCTTACGAAAAGCCTGGGCATCGCCATACTTGGCTCCAGGCATGGCGGGTGTCCGTCCGGTGTCCCATCGGTGTCCGAAAAAGAGAGATCCACGATGACTACCATCCAAGAGTCATTTCCGGTACACAGTTGATTCAAGATGATTCAAGGGTGCCTCTAATTGTATATATCATGACATCATGTATAATATATATAATGTATAATGTGTATATATATATATTCCACATAATGTCTAAATCGCACAATCGCTTTGAATGATGCATCATCCCAGCATGATTCTCCAATCTCAATCACATCGCCTCCATGTCCTGATCATCCATGTACCATCTTTGGCAGGCAAGACCATGCTGATCCCGGAGCGTGCTCGGGTCATGGGACGTCTCTTTCGGTCTGATGCCATCTATCGGCGCCATCGAGGATGTGAGGATCTGCCAGAGGAGGGGGGGTCGTTCTATGCGATAGGTGCTGCTGTGATGGCGATGATCCACATGGTTCCATAGTCATACATGGAAGGATGTTGTCAGGAAGCTAATTCTTGTGCACGACAAGTGCATGTATTCCTTCTGGACGCACTCCACCCGAGCGGAGGCGAACTTGGCAAATGATCAGCCGAGACTGTATGAAAAAGGGAAAAATTGGCTCATGAAAAAGGGAACCACTTTCCATTAGCAATTTGAATCACTTCACCTCATTACCTAGGTGATCCATGTCGGTGATCTCCCCAACCACGGGGTCCGTCGTTCTCGCCCCCTGTGATGGCTGATGTGGCAGGGGCTCATGTGGCGGGCTGGGTCATGGCACCAGGGGATCGCCAGGTTGACCACTGAAAATGAATAGAATGGACTACCTGGGTCAAAGCTACCAGAATTTGGGGCTCCGGGTGCCATGATCCACAGTTTTTTTCTATAATATGGCTTTTCTTCATATTTGGCCAAACGTATGAGCTGAAGGCCCTGTCGTTAAGGCTGAAGGGGCCTTGGAGCGAGGATAGTGGCACGTGGTTGACAAGTTAATTGGAAGACATGGTGTCCAATGTGGTGAAACCAGATTTGCCATCATAATTAATACACTCTGACTCACTAACATGGATAGTTTATCTCCAGAACCGTGGAACCTACCATGAGAAGAGGCTTCTAGTGGTAATTAGATGGTTCTAATTTCACATGTTTGCAGAGGGAGTGGCGAACCCCGAACTGGCATTGACCATGATTTCGACGCGGTCATATGGGCCCACTCGACTCACCGGCCTCACTGCGTTCGCAGGTCAACCCGACACCGTCTCGTCTGTCTCCAGCGTCGCCGCGTCTCGGTGCAGGAGATGAAATCGTGTCCAGGGCTTCATGCAGCGGAGCATTTGCACCTGTGGCCCTTCCTGCATGCAGGCGCGGACCGGACCGGTCGGGTCCGCTCGGGGTCAGACGCTGAAGCGGATGTCCGGGTCCTTCCGGCCATGCCATCCGCGTAACTTGTAACCATGATTGTTTCAGGGAGTGTAAGCGTCAATGGCGGTGGGTAGAAACCTGGATAGTTCTCCTCAATCATGCGGAAGGGTGCATAGAAATGCGGCGGGGTGTGTTCTTTCTGAGCGCGAGATCGAGGCTCCAAAGACTGGTTGGTGGATCCAGTGCATTCAGTTAATTTTTTTGATGGGTTAACGGTTAAGCAAGGTTCAGTGGTTTTGATCCAAAGCCAAGTGAAGGCAGGAGTCAGGAGTTATTTGTTTGCACAACTGTTCTCCTTCGCCTTCTCACTTGTCAGACGCCCTCAATCTTCTTGGTGCCCCCCATGAAACCATTGAAGATCGTCCAAGGGGACCACGCAAAAACGCTGGAGAGAGAGAGAGAGAGAGCTTTGCCAATGTGAGTAGAGTTTAGCCAACCAAATTCAGCCCTTGTATTGCCTGCACAGTCTCATGACTTGCAGACCGAATTGTCCTGTGTTTGGTAGGTTGTACAGGTTTGAATTCTGATGCCATTGCACAAAAAATATGAAACCCCGAGTGTGTCAACATGCAGAACATACATCAGCAGGGTGAGTGTCTATGTTTAGTTGGGTAAACTTCACCCTCCCTCCAACAAAACATGGAAGTGGAGAACCCCTTGTTTGTGGGGGAAGTTGGTTCTTTTGTCGTCCATGATGTAGCGAACCGTGCCCTTGGAAGTTGTGTTCGGGAATCGACACGCTCAGTACTTCGTACTTCGTCGATACGTCGAAACCGGAGTCGCGGGTCCGACCTGCGATCAGAGACCCATGCACCTGTTGTGTTTTGCCTTTGGATTGAGGTGTGCTCCATGATTTGCAGGATCCTTTTGGGCGAAGAGCTTGATGTTTGACCCTTTTTGACCAGTCCGAACAATGCTTCTTGCCATGTACATCTCCAGCATTTGGTCGCTAAGTACATGTTTGCAAAAGTAGCAACAAGAGCTACTCTGTATCATCCCTCATTTCTTTAACAGGTAAATTTATCAGAGCATAGATTCCAAGCATGTCGCTCGAAGCTAGCTACATAAACAGAAGCGTTTCTCGGAGATGGAGCAACTCAGTTTCAGGAGGATTCCAGCAACTCATGCAGCAACTCATGCAGGAGTCAGGAGACAGATGCAACTCTTCACATACCAATCCAGGTGCTTTCAGGAGCTCGGGGATCCAGTTATAGAACATGCACCGAGGATGGCACGTGACCCAGTGGGGCATGCATGTGATAAGCTGTTCGGTGTTGCTTTCCCGGAATGACAGAACCCCAATAATATATGTGAGCTAAGCAGTTATGCTATCGCCAAGCAACATCAAGCAACATACCTACACACCGCGGCAAATTGTTCCTTATATATCCTTAATTATCCTTATATATAATATGAGTCATAAGTTACGCAATAGTATACATGGTTTGAATATGGTCGGATATGTTTTCGCAATACATAAGAATTTGGTGATGCTCTCTTGCATGAACATTGGAACAAATATTTGAGTAGGCTCTGACAGCCATGCTTTCGGAACGCTTGCGACCACGAGTGGTGGCGGAATGGCAAGCCACGCAGCCCCTGGTGCGCTCCCTTGTCATTCGTCCAAATCTTAGGGAGTTGGAAGCTCATGACCCTGCGCAGATAAATCATTCACCAGGGTCGACACTCACCATCACTCACCTTTACCCAGTTCATTAGAGAACTGACCATGGTCAGCAATTAGGTTTGCACTGCAGCTCCAAGTCGGTGAGAGCTGGGTGCTGCCCGGGCAAGCGGGCCATGCACCAAGTCAACACAGTGGGACCGTAACGAAGATGATGGCAGAAATGACATTAAGCAACTGGAGTTGCATAATTGCTTACCCTCCTTACTAACATCTGGACTCATGGCGTTCTACATCATGTTTACCCATGATGTCCCCTGATTCGGGTTCGAACATCGTCTTCCCAACAGAAACGACAAATCGTCCTCTTGGGGAAGCAACGAACACACCCAGCTGTGGTTCGCCCGAATGGCCCCAGGCTCCGTGGCGCAGCGGTGTACGGCCAGCGCGGAGCGCTCCCGGTTCGAGCCTCGGGGGATCAGTGAGCCTGGCGAGAAGCATTGACGGTTTAAGACGGTTTGGTGACTGGTGTGGGCTCCAGCAAATAATGAGCCTTTTTGAAGTAATTAAGGAACAGGTTTTTGGAAGGTACACACCCCAGAATCTGGGAAAGAACAAAATATTGGGAATCCTCCTGGTAGAAAGTGAGCCTTCGACGCAAAGGGAGGAAGCATCATCATTGCTTACGAGGGTTTCTGGGTGTGGAAGGGTGACAAATTAAATGACAGACTGAAAGGATCCTATAGTAAAGTAGCCTCTTTGTTGCCACATTGGTCCTTTACTCTGTGCCTTGTGTACATATCCTGTACCTAATGCCTCAATACCGCTGGCACTCGATCTGTTGCTCAAAATTCCAGCTGAGGTGGCTGAGAACCAGCATCCCCTAACATTATGCCATGTCCAGAAGCGAACGAAACAACAAAACGCACCAGAATCATCCCATAATATCCCATACATCAACCGAGAATCAGCTTGGGATGAGCCTTGTAGCACCTCCAACCGATTGACTTCCCAGGTCTGGTCCGCAGCCTAACCAGTCACCGTGCTCCACATGCTCGTGCCAGCATCGCGCTGCTGGGGTTAGGCGCTACTGTACTGGGTAGTCCTGGCGGGTCTCTATGAAAAAGATGGGAGACAAGACAACAACATATAAGAACCATTAAGAACCAGTTGCAAGCACAGGATCTCCTCCATTTCCTGAAAGGCACAGGGGTCACATTTTGCTGGAGGAAGATTCGCTTGACCTCAATCAAGTACAAGTAGTAGTAGTAGTAGTAGTAGTAGTAGTAGTAGTAGCAGTAGTAGTAGTAGTAGTTGTAGTTTTAGTTTCCCTCTACCAGTGACTTGCATAGCTGCGACCAGCGTTGAAACGCAAATGGTCAGAAAAACGAGCCTCCTTGGAAAGATTCCCTAGTCCAGCCTGGTCCAGAATATGGTGCCGTTCTGTTTTTTCCATGCTGCGACACAAGATGGAAAGTTAGATAAAGCGCTGGAGAGTCAACTCCATCTTTCACTGCACGATCCAGGCCTTTCAAATGTTCTTCACGCAATTTTGATGGGCCACGTGACGCTCCTTAGTACAAACAGTCAGCAAGAATGCTGCGCACGTCCACACTGGCTAGTTGCAGATTTTTCAAAGCAGATTTTGCAAAATCTCCTCTGCTGGGCTCGCCATTGATTTTGTAAAATGGCACGTCTTGAAGTCCTTCACGGCAATTGAGAAGGATATTAAAGCAAGGGGTGGCAGAGGTTTTGATCGCAGTTTTGTCGGAACGTGATAAGGAACTAGCGGATACCAGCGGTATGGAAACGCTTGGAGCATTGAAAACCCAAACTATCTACTGTAACTACTTTGGAGCTCCGGAACCAGATCGGCATGGAGAAGCTCTGGTGGTACTTCATTCAAGGGCGAAGGCTTTGTTCAGGGACTTTTGATATCACGCTACAACCATAGGTGTCCAAAGGGTCAGTGACACTGAGCATCACATCAAACTGTCCTCCAAAGAATCGGTTCTTGATATCCCGCACCTGCAGAAACAACACCAAATCACCTTAATCAACTCTTTTTTTTGCGTTTGTCTCAACACAGGATCAACACCGAAAAAGGCTCCGTTTTGCAGCCTTCTCCGCCAGGCTCGGCGCTCTTTGCTCGCTACCGACCTCGCTATCTTCAGGGCCTGAACCGGTCTCGTGCTGGCTCGCGGACCAGGACGTCCGGGGTCCGGTGGTTCGTTGTGGTCGGACCTCATTCGATCTCGGCCGCGGCGCGGTGGCTTCTGGCCGCGTGGCAGGAGTGCTGCAACCCGTGTGGCAGAATCTGTGGAGACCTTGGCCACTGCCGAGATTGGCTGGAAAAGCCTGGCACATGTCTACTGCATGAGCCTTGCTGAGATTCACCTGAGGTGATTCGGGTGTTCTTTTCACATATATACTCCCCAGACGAACATAGAACCCCCAAACCACTGGGTTGTAGAGGTTCCAATCGTCTGGAAAACTGGTCAACATGTTAGTTCCATGTTAGTTTGCTGGGGAGTAACTATTATTAAAACCATGTAGAATGTATGTTTGGGGTGGCAGACTGCAACGGCCTCTCTTTCGGATCGGCATGGATCGGCCGAGCTGAGCTGGCGACAGCGTCCCCGTCCCAAACACGCCCGTCGTGAGTCTCCAGACCCTCGAAGAGGCGAAGAGGCGAAGAGGTCGTATGTTCTCCGAAGGTATGTGGATCCGGAAAGCGAAACGCTGATCAAGTTTAAAGGTGAGTTGTTTTGTTCTTGTTACGCATGTTCGTATATGTCATCTTCTAAAAGCCTTTGTTGTGTGGGCCTTAAGCCTCCCAGGAACTTGGACCATCGGAAAGAGCGATGGGACTTTATGCAACGGCAGTTTCTGCAGCTGAAGATGCCTGTGGAACGCTTCAGTGCTGTGAACGGTCGGGAGCTGGATGTGCCAGAGCTCGCCATGCAGCTCGCCATGCGGAAGATGGAGGGAATGGCTGCATGTGGGGAATGTGGCTGGGGAAGGAAAGAGGGATGATGTTAAATAGTATAAAGAAGAGCACAGTTGTATAAGTTATGGGCTTTGAGAGTTGAACAAAGGTGTTCAGTTTTTTGGGGTACATGTGTATCACGTGTTCTAACGGCACAACTTGGTTCAGCATTTTAGAGGGTACGTCCAAGTTCCGCTGTGAATGATGAGCAAAAGGAACAAGAGGACAACAATTCTGTACCACACGCAACTCATGTTTGTTGTCCTCTTCGCCTCGGTGCATCTTGCGCCCTCTTGAAGAACACAAAAAGAAACTCGCTGGAACATGACATGTCTGAGTCTATTTATTACACTCGCAAAGGGTCACGCAACCAGCAACAAAGGCCGGCAGAAGGCAGTGGCAGAATTCTGGCTTCATATGTTGAACCTTACCCGGATTTTGGGGGATCCAGTCCAACGGTTTGAAGCCTGGAAGCCGCAAAACATTGTATCGTACGTGCCCTGGTGAAGTTTGAATGAGGTTTCACTTTCAGGTTCCCTGAAGACTATTTGGGTTGAAAGTTTAAACCATGCATACCTGGAGGTTTACTTGACCTTTTCAGGTTTGCCTGAAAACATGTGCAGCTCAACAAGCTCTTTGACTCCAGTCCCTGCATATATGTGGCTTGACAAGCTGAATGTGAGACGGGGTTTGGCATGAAAGATCGTAATTAAATGAGAAATCACATGCCAATCACAAGGAAAAAAGTTGAACATAAAGTCCACCGCAATCTTCGATGGAGATTCCATAGCACCTTTTCAACGCAGGGAGTGAGGGGATTGTTGGGATGCTGCCCATATGAGGCGCCTAGTTCACCACCTTTATGGTTTGGCACTCTCTGCGGGTGCCAGCTGTGGAAGAAAGTCCTTCCACTTTAGGTCAAATTAGAACATATCATAGCAGAAAAGGACAAACCTGAGAGTGCGTTGCAAAAAGATTTTTGCTTTGATATTTTCAATATGTTGCCTTTAAGAAGTGACACCTTCAAGCTTGAAAGGCTAGATTTGGAACATATCAAAGTAACAGTATATGTTCAACGCACGAACTCTCAGGTTTGTCCTTTTCTGCAGAGTGTATTGCACATCTTAGTCAGTTTATGTTTGTGTTATGTTGATTGAAGCTGGAAGAGCTGAAAAAATACAAAAACCAATGCAACGATTGAACACACAACGCAAAAGCCCAAAAACACAACACCACAAGCCAAAAAGGCAAAGACCCGAAAAAGAATAAAACAGAGGTTAAAAGCACAACGCGGAAGCCGACGCAATACGATGCGGAACTGTCGCAACATAATATCACGCCGTATCGGTGTCATCGGGGATGACAAATTCATTCAAACTCATGTTTGATGTGTTAACAGGTTCGAGCCTGTTTGGCACGACCCAGCCAGGTCTAATACCTTATAAGGAATTAGGTCAGGTCTGTTGCTTCCTGCACCTGTGTTACACGTGGAGCGGCTTCAGGGTCGACTTTGGAGCTGTTCGTTGGGGGACGGGTTGCGCGTGCTGCAACAAACAAAGCTCCAAGACTTCGACAGAGAAGGTCTTTGTTTGCTTATGTTTGCTTACTGAGGACATGCCTTTAACAGGCACTTCTTTTGGTACCCTCGTTAAAGCTACCTTGGGCTCTTGAAGGGGTTCCACAATAAAGAACCGTGCCTGCCATCTGGGAACCCCTCCAGCCAGGACTGGACATGAAAAGGATGGGGGTCAAAGCAGGTGTAGAGTTGCTGTACATGATTTGACAAAGTCTGCTCATCAGGAATCAACATTATGGGATTTTTCCATCTCAGATGGAAGAGAGTCCTTAAAGAGAGTCTTAAAAAACATACAGCCTACCGCAGGTCTAGGTATATATTAGGTACATACAGTACACGACTAGTATAGTATTGTATAATATATATATATATCATTTTTTCACAAAGCCTTCCATTTTGACGGTGAATCGAGAGTGCTTGGTTCTGAAAAGGAAGCCACACAATTCCAAGTAGGTCCTTGACTCCCAGCATTCTGGAATCTCGGGTCACGTTATGGCTCCGCTCAGTCACTTCCAGCTATACTGCGTTGAGCTGTGGTGAGCTGCGACCATGGCAGCCCCAGCTATTGATGGTGACCAGTGGGGATTACAATCATCCAGTATAAAACATTTTCACCTGGCTAACAACTGCCCGCAGACCAGGTGTTTGTCGCACCCAAAATCTCGAGTAAAGTGGGTCCTCGCGACTCCTCGTTGGGATGTGGGCCCATGTGGGTCCACTCCCAGTTCATGATCTTAACAGTGAATCAGCAAGGAGTGCATGTGATACATGTTGACTAACCAATAGATATTATATAATGGACCCGAACAAGTCGGTGTTTCACCATCCTGGTTGGGGGAGAGGGTCCAAATGGGCCCAAGGACTCAAGGGTCAACACGTTGGCTGAACGACTCGGCTGTTCCAGTGAGACTACGCCAGGAACGGGGTCATTGCCATGGAAGCTTTGCCTCGCTACTACCTGCCGGACGAACAGTGCCTTGCTCTCTCGCGGTTTTGCGTGTGTGATTTGCCAGCGTTCGCCACGAAAAAAAGATGTGGACAACTATTCGCACCAGAGACAGTTGTGTTTGTTTAATACTCCCTATTTCCGTACACACTCAGATGGTTGTGCTTTTTGGAAGGATGCCAAAAAAGTTGATTAAAGTGATAGACTGAATGTAGAGCCAGAGATGGTAATTAAACAATGTTGAATTGCCGGTCTCAAGCTACGGTGCAGGAAGACCCTACCTGTGAATTCCTTGGAGTTGTCGACAGGAAAACCTACAGGAAAACACCCTCGAGTTGGGTAAATCCACCCTCGTTTTCCTGCCGATGTTTCTGTATGTTGAATTCCTGTTGAATTCTACGATGAATGCAGACAGGTGAGTCCTTTGAACTTTGCAACGTCACATCAAGCCGCAGCATTCCAAGGAGTCAAAGCTCGCCACACTGGAACAGGGCTAAACCTCACATGGGATAGAAGCCGGCCATACGATGGGCGACCCACCCCGGTCCAGCTTTGGGGAGCGGATGGCGTTATCCCTGTCTGACTCCATGAAGCAACAAGACACGTTATTTAAAAGATGTTAAAAGGGGCCAGTGAAAATTAATGACCATATTTGATTGGAAAACAAATTAGTGAAGTGTTTCAGGATGTTCACTGACCGCTTTCTCATCACCATTCCGCCCACAGTCACGCATGGCTTGAGGCTACTGCTGAATTTGTCAACCTTCAACTACCCATTGGAAGGCCTCCCAACATAGATTATAGCAACAAGCAAACAAACATCTTTGTTTTTAAGTGTTCGGGTTTGTATCAACCAAAACAAGGTGTAACTTGGTGTAAGTGTAAAGGGTTAAGAACGTGTAAGTGTAAGCAACACCGTGTAAGTGTAAAGGGTTAAGAAAAATCAGTCAACAAATTCTCCGGGAAAACCTGCAAAAACCAATCAACAATCGCGGGTTAGCACGGGTAAAGTACGGGTCTGGCACGGGTTGGAAAACATCATGTTGTTCAAATTCCCGAGGGCCCGAGGTATTTGTTAAAAAGTACGGTAAAGTAAGGGCATAGCACGGGGTGAAATCCACCACACCTGTTATGTCTTACTAACCTCATTCTCATGTATCAAGATCTTTGGCAGACACTTTCTATGAATTATATGTCAATTGTTATGTTCGATTATTTTTGTACAATATGGGAGCTGAGTGGAGGAATGCAATTGGATCTCAGGCACAAACGGACGCCCATTCAAGTTGATAAAGAAATGCTAAGAATATCTAAGCATATATGGTTTTGCCAAAGCCTTGTGTTTGTTTGACAAAACCCGATGTATTTCAGAATGTGTGTGAGAAAACCCGATGTTTCTGCTTTCTCCCCTTTAAATCAACTGGTTTTGACAAAGGTCCAATTATGGACTATCCAGAGTACCTAGACTGACCCTTGAAACCACCCAGAGGTACAAATCTTCTGGAGTCATGGAGTGTTTGTGAATAGTTGATGCCCTCATAGACAGGAATGGACGTGGTGGAAGCACCAAACAACTTAACAGAGCTATGCTTTTGGCATGTGGTTTTGTCCCAGCACCGACCCACTGGTTCAGATAATTTGTTTTTTCAGTTTGGCTGACAGAAAATACCTGCGCCATCTTGCATCATTGCGTCGGGGCGCCTCAAGTTTGGGACAATCCCACAATCCGAAAAACATCGTGAAACAAATGATCAACGGAAATAGAAATAACTATATACTCCAACCACTTCGAACCTGAATCCATCCTAAAGATGCAGTTCTCACAATGTTTGCCAGCTAAGATAGATGGCTAAGCGCCTTGACAAACAGAGCTCACCACGCTCTGGCGTGCGCCTTCGAACAGGAAGCTGTTTGGCACCGACTTGACAGCAGGCGCCATTGGCTGCGCGCTCTCACACATGTGCCTTGGCATCATCGGTTGCGCGTTTTGTTGGGTTTCAGAAAAAGGTGATACCCCTGCACCAATATATATATATATATACAGAAATCACCTGGACCTTGAAGCAGATTAATTTGGTGAATCCCCTTTTGCAAGCAACATCATGTGCAATTCATGTCCCAAACCCTCCTATGAAGAGATTGGAGTGCCTGTCGTTTTGGGCGTAGCGGCGATGCTGTTTCAGCAGGCTGGTAGTCACTGGTAGTCCGATCGAAAGACTTGGTCCAAGAGGATCCACCGTGCGTATCAAGATCCCAGTGATTCCAGATCCACTCCTTGTGCTTCACTCCTTGGAGCATATTATTATCAAACAATCCCCTAGGCCTCCAACCATCTCCTCAGTTTCGGTGGTGAGACCCCGCTGGCACCCACCCTAGCCATCTTCTCAGGAGGTGGTTGGAGCCCTAGGGTATATAGGGTGACAGCACATGCCACTTGCTTGACGTTTGCTTGACTCCAACTAGGCTTGTCACGTACCAGTGCGGAGCTCCTGGAATTTATTGTTTTCTATTATTGATTCTACAGAGAACCACTCCCCAATATTTTGGCCATAAAACTTGCCATGCTTTGCATCGCTGCATCACAGCAAAGAATGCAAAACCCATCCCTTGAATGTCAAACCTCCACGAACACTGCATCTCGTCCAAGAAGTGTTTAGGTATGGTAATGGTATAGGATGGTTAGTGTGTGTCCCATGACCTGTAACAGTCGATAAAGGACTATCACTATTTTGGAGATGGAAAGGTCTGCAACCTAATCATCATCCACTGAGCCAGGGAATGGTTAGAATCCTTTTCAGCAGCTCTTTTGGTGTTCAGCTTTGTCGACCGCAGCATCCACCGGTCTCCAGCAGCGAGGTTGATCTGGCGCGACATCGTGCGTCGATGCGCCGAAGGCGAGTGGGCGAGTCCTGGATCCAGGGTAGTTGAGCTGAGCTCCTGGTGAAGCCTGCTGAAGTCGTGAAAAGATGAATAATTAATAACTGTGAATGAGCTGAGAGGTGATTGATTGATTGATTGATTGATTGATTGATTGATTGCTTGGTTGGTTGATTGATTGATTGATTGATTGAGTGAGTGAGTGAGTGAGTGAGTGAGGAGTGAGTCAGAGAACCTCATCATCAGTGTTTATGATTCGCCGCGCTGAGAGTTGGTGATGTTCACATCTCACCTCTAGTGAAACCAGTATCTTCCACAGAAACTCTGCAACAGCCGGCTTCAGCTCATCCCTTTTCCACCTGGATCACATAGTTGTTTCCATCTGTGATCCATGACGATCGCCAGTTCGATCGCCAGTTCGATCGCCCAACTTCGCACCCAGACACGGCGATGATGGTGCCTTTTCAATGTCACCAGTGGATGAACTCTTCGAACCATTTCGCACTACCGTGGGGGTCAGATACCTTTGTTATTTTTTTAATGTTTATACATGTGTTTTACCTTTGTTGTTGTTGTTTGTTTGTTGTTGTTTTTTTTAATACCTCTACTTGGGATCATTGAACCCACTGACGAAACTTTGTCAAGTGAGTTGAAGCCATCAATCATGCAATTGTTTGTTTCGTCGCTCCCGCATATTTCTCCGGCATAGTCCCGCAAGGTCCAGTCAACGATCACACATCAAATCCATCTCCTCAACATGCACCATGCATGTCATGCATGTCGTTTTCAAAGAAGTGCACTGACATTGTTTGACCATCGATATGAAGAACCATAGAAGAGCCAGATAATTTAGCTCTCCAAGTCATTCACATGGAAGTGGAAAACAACCTCTTCGTAGAACAACAACACGAAAAACATGATCTTCCACGACCTTTTTATTCCACTTCCATATGTCTTTTGTTGGGCAGGAGTGTAGCTCTTGAGTATTGGGACCACCGGGGGTTTCTTTGCGGTTGATCCGCTGTATCTCTCAGATGGCATTGACCCTCGTGCGCCTTTCTTGGTCATCGAGGACGCTGAGGGTTTCACAATCGTAACGGGCTTGGAGGGGCGGTGCTCGTGGTCGGAAAGCAAACACTGGAAAGACCTGGAAGAAGTGGTCGTTGAACTTCTAAAACTCGTGAGTCGTGGAATTGAGATGAACTGAAAATCACTGGACATGCAGTTTCTGCTGTTGGATCCGTTGGGTTTCTCAAGGAAAAGTGGTCTGGCAGCTTTGATTCAGGGTTTGCCAGCCCCAGGTGAGTGGTGTTACCACACAGGGCGAGCACTGTCAACTGCTTGCTGAGTGAGAGACAGTGTTCCAAGTGTCACACCGAGCACATCTATATATGTATATTTTTTCACCCCCCCATGATCTACCTGTTCCTGGTTTTCAGCTCTTCCACTTTTCATACGCTCTTCTAGTCAGCTGCTTTTCTGTACTAGGCTACCCCCTGTGTTGAATTGAGTTTTGCAATACTTTGACAAGATTTAAGGAGGGAGTCAGTCAAAAAGAAATCAACTAAAGAGTTTAAAGGGTATTCAAAAGAAATCAAAAGGATTTAAAAAGATATCAACCAAAAACAAAGGAATTGCTCTACTTCGAGTGATCCCCATCATGACGTTTTAAAAATCAAAACAAAGCATGTCTTCATGCCATGGTGAGGAGCATGTTGCCATGGTCGTGAGTTTTGTGGTTCCCGACTTTGTTTGTGGGTCCTCGGGTTGTGTGCTGTGATCGTGGTTGTGTGTTGTGGTTGTGTGCTGTAAATCTGTCTTTGTGGTTGTGTGTTGTGGTTGTCTTTGCGGTTGCGTGCTTGTGATTGTACTTGTGTGTTTGTGGTCGTGGTTGTGATTGTGTGTTTGTGGATGTGTTTCTGGTTGTGTGTTGTGGTTGTGTGTTGTGGCTGTTGTGTGTTTGTGGATGTGTTTGTGGTTGTGTTTGTGGTTGTGCGTTTCTGGATGAGTTTGGGGTTGTGATTGTGGTTGTGTTTGTGGCTCTGTCTTTGTGAATGTGTGTTTGTGATTGTACTTGTTTTTTTTTCTAGTTGTGTGTTGTGGTTGTGTGCTGTGGCTGTGTGTTTGCGGTTGTGTTTGTGTTTGTGGTTGTGTGTTTGTGATTGTGTTATTTGTGATTGTGCTTGTGTGGTTGTGGTTGTGGTTGTGTAAGCTGCAAGGTGGGCAAGCTGCAAGGAGTCCAGCTAGGCTCACACAGAGTCGTGAAAATGATTTTCTTTTCTCACCGCCAGGAGGTTCATTGAACCATGGCTTAAGGCTCCGGGCGCACAAAGACCACATTAGTTTTGTGAAGAAACAATTTCGATAGCATCGACGCCCCTTTTGACTGGCAAGTTTCCTGACATTACACGGCACACAATAACTTTTTCACTCACAGACTCACAGAAGCGCCACGATGACACGATGGCCCTGGGGATGGTGAGGATGATTTGTTCATGCAGTCGAAGGCGGGTTGTTTTTCTGGCGGTGGCCGGGGAGATCCGGGAAGGCTGAAAGGGCAACATGTTTAACAGGTGATGTATGTATATAACGGAGGGGTGACCCATGGCATAGCATATATAAAATATAAAAGTGTTTACAGAAATTCCCTCAAACATTCTACCATTTGCGCGCCAAAAAGAAAAAACCAACTAAAATCCTGCAAGCATCCTGGAATCTGGAAGATTGCATCGTTGAAGAGGAAGGTACTGCTTGGATGTTAGCAGCCGATCATCTCCGCACGCCAGATATCGACTTGCCAAAGACGATGCGGCTGGCGTTCACGGAGGCTAGATCCAAAGCAATGGAAGCGATGGAGTGGGTGTTTTCTCGGTGAGGGTTTTTTTCTCGTTTTGTTCTCGTTTTTCTCGGTGAGGGACTCCACCTTTAGTTTTCCTTTAGGGTCCTCAGCTTTTGCAAGTAGGACATATTTGCAAGCGGGGTTCTCTATAGGATCCGGACCCTAAGCAAGACCAGAGAACCGACATCCGGGATAGTTGGTAAAACTTGTGGGCATCTCCTTCATCCTCAATGTTCT